TCAAAATCATGGCATCCGACCATCTCAATTCCTATGGTGCTGGAGAAGACTCCTGTGAGTCCCTTGGACTGCAAGGCGATCAAACCGGTCAGTCCTAGAAGAGATCAACTCCGACTGCTCCTTAGAAGGCCAGATCCTGAACTTGAAACTCAAATACTTTGGCCACCTAATGAGAAGGAAGGACTCACTGGAGAAGGGCCTAATGCTGGGAAAGATTGAGGGTAATAGAAGAAGGGGACGACAGAGAATGAGGTGGCTGGATGGAGTCACTGAAGCAGTAGGCGTGAGCTTAAATGGACTCCACAAGATGGTAGAGGACAGGAAGACCTGGAGGAACGTTGTCCATGGGGTCGTGATGGGTCGGACATGACTTCGCAATTAACAACAACAACAAATAAACACACAAATAGGGGGGAAGCTAACTCCCTTGCCATTTAGAAAAAAATAAAATGATTTTGTAAAAATCATTTTGTCCTTGGTATTCTACAGTAAATGTCTGACTTGATGAATGTCTATTGAGTAACATTTACTTGAAGAGGATGATGGCAATTCTACTACAGATATCATATGTTGATCAATTTATAATGCATCTTTGTTTTCAAAGAAGTGATATAAGGCAATATAATTTCTCTGAAGCTATTTACAGCATTTTTTAAATTACTCTTCAGTCAAAATCTGGAAGCACATTCTTGACACTGAATACTAATGCACTTAGTTTGTGGCATGAAGAGTATATTTGAAAAATTACAGAAACGATATACAATGGCTAAGTCAAAGAGGACACAGAAATCAGAATGGGAAATATTTCACAACAAGGATGGAAACATAACTGATGTATAATGAAAAGCGCCTGCTTAAATAAAGAAAGCTTGTGAGAGCTTTTGAAGACTACTTTATCCAAAATGTAAAAGCAATGCTTCTAGGGATTAGCATAGCAAAAAGGGTAGCTATGTCATATATATGTTTATTATAACTATTTATCTTTCACTTTGTAATAAATTTTAATTAATGAGTTAATTTAAATAATACTTTAATCCTAGCTCCATGAAGCAGTACAGCTACACCTTCCATGAAAGTCTGAAATGTTGTAAATGTTCTTCCTTTCAGAAAAGTTTGTTCTAGAAGTTTCTCAGTATTTTACTTCTTTGGGTCAAATAACACTGCAGAACAAAAGGCCCTGTTTGAAAGAAGGGAGTCCTGGATGACAATGATTTATTATATGATCCTAAAACTAGAAAGAACCTGGAAAGCTAATGAAAAGAGACTCTGTTTGCAGTTGGAAATTAAATACTTGTTTACCTGAAACATGAAAGATTCCATGCTACTTCATCTATCACTTTATATCCACATCCACTTTGAAAGGATCTCTTGTAATCCTCTTGGTAAAGTGGCTGAAACTTGCTACAAATGTATTTTATTCACTTACACAAAAACCCAGGAGATATAAAGATTATCTTAAATAGCATATGCAAATTAAAATTCATTACTACTAAGAATCATTTTTACAATTATGCATTCACTACCTGAACAGAAATGCTACTTACAAAGAGAAAGTTAGATGGCAAGGTCACAATAATTGCCAAAGTATGTAGAATATAAATAGCATTTGAAACAATTTATATGCCACTGAGGCATTTAATTGCAATTGGAGTGTGTTCTTTTTGTCTAATAATTATTGCTATGACGTGAAGCTGTTCTATTGCCCAATTCATTTCTGACCTTCTAAATGAAATAATCTATTACTATCTCTTCAGTAATTTAGAACACCAAGGACAGCACTGCATTTTACTAAATCATTTTATTTCTTCTAGGCAAAGGAATTAGCTGTCCCTTAACACAAACAAATAAACACACAAACAAAGTTGTAACACTGTTGAGCTAATGGCATTCCAATGGCTTTTCTAATTATAATGCCATCAATCTCAAAACTACAGTCCAGTGGCTTATCTTTTCCAAACTGAATTTCCTTTTAAATAGTTGACAGTTTTTTTAATTCTTGTTTTTTACATTGTGTATAATACAACTGAAGGAAGTTTATTTACTACCAGTCATTTAATGAAAATACTAAAAATGATTTCTTATCAAGAAATCATTCATTTGATATTCAAAATATTTTATTTGTACATTTGACTTTTTTCTAAGTAATGTATAAAAGATTTAATTACTGAGAGATAGCTGAGGATACACTGCCATTATTATTATTACTACACTAATAGTAGTACTTAATAACAATAATATTTGTCTTTACTATTTGTCTTTATTGGCATTTCTAATCTATCAGATATTAAATTTGTTGCTATCATCAACACCAGTGTTTCTTGAACTTTTTGGATCTTTCCCCACTTTTAAAAACTATGGAGCATTCCAAAAGAGCTTTCAAAAGAATTATTATATTTATTGTTTTAAAAAAATCAAAATTAAAAATATTCATAGAATACTTATGTATTGAATTATGTATAAATAATAGTATTAAACTCATGAAATATTTACAAAAATGAAATAAAAAAAACAAAAATATGTGACATTGCTTTAAATTTTTGCAAATATCTTCAATATTTGACAAATAACTTTATCATCATTATTATTTTATTATATGAACTTCTGAGAGGACTTCTAGACCGTGGTCTAAAATATTAGGAATCCCACCAAATTCTGTTTCATCTGGAAATTTAATAAGCATCCCCTCCACCTGTTCATTCTGGTCATTAATAGAAATGTTGAAGAATGCCAGACCCAATTAAAAGCAGAGGCTCATGGGACTTCCTGTTGCCTTCCTCCAGAATTCATCCTTAGCTCCTCATTAAATTAAAATCCTTCACCAAACAACAAGGTTGATTGCTAGCTTGGGAGAAAAAACCAGGGGGTGGCATACAGGAGTTCATGTGTTCACTAATTGTGACTTTCCCAGACAACCAATTATGGTTGTAAAATGAGAACTACCTATAATTTATGTAGATACAGTGAGTTGGTGCTATTTCTTATATTCTAAGGCAATTTTGTATATTCCATGGGATAATTGTTGTCAGCATTCCCTTACAACATGTGTGAATTATGTTTATTTGGAAGCTGGGGTAAATTTGCCTGTTTCCCCCCTCTACCTTAACAATAACCAGGACATGTGCTCTTTTGGGTAGCAATATATTATTCTGGATGGAAATTTTATTATAATTATAAAATAAACTTCAACCAAATGGTCTTTCTTATTCCAAATAATGTATATAAAAATAGAGGGAGAACTATTTCATGATTCAAAGGCACTGACATGGAAGGTTAGCTGGCAAAGGAAGAAAGCCAGAGTAAGGCTGAAGAAAATAATGGCTTTGACTTATTAGAAGGGATATTATATTAGATGGTTGAATATAGTGGAAAATAGACAAGGTTTTAGAAAATAGAGTAACATTGTAATTAAATAGATAAGAAGTGTAACTAGAATATTGACTTTGGTATGAAAAGGGGAAAAGAGAGAAGTTGAAATAAGGGAAGCTTTTGGTCACCTAAACATAAAGTACTTGGAAATCATAAATAATAGTGTTTTCTTGAATATTGATGGGAAATTAAAGTTTGGGGGGAAGCAATAATAGAACATTGTTCACACAAGAATATTAAGTGCAAACGCAATTAAGATATGTATAGGATAAAAATTATCGATAAATGTAACAAAGATGTTTCTACTTAGTTGAAAATAAGAATTGTGTTTGCCCAATATGAGATAACAGATATTATTGGAATGAGAGAGGAAGTATTTGATATTCTAATATAGACTTAAACTAAAAATTTATGTATACTACTGAATTATTGGTTAACCCAGACAACAACTATAATGACTTTGATTTATTAGAGGGGATACTGTATTATCAATTAGATAGTTGAACATGGTGGAAAATAGATAACTTTTAGAAAACAGAGCAATATTATAATCAGATAGATAAGATGTGTAACCAAAATATTAGACTTTGGTATGAAAAGGGAAAAAGGGAGAAGTTGAGGTAAGGGAAACCTTTGGTCACCTAAACATAAAATACTTGGAAATCATACATAATAATGTTACTTTGAATATTGATGGGAAATTAAAGCCTGGGGAGGGGAAGCATTAACAGGACATTAATTGTATACAAGGATTAAGTGCAAACACAATTAAGATATGTATAAGCTAAAAATTATTGATAACTGTAACAAAGATGTTTTTATTTCGTTGATAACAATAAGAATTATACTAGCTAGCCCAATATGAGATAACAGATATTGATGGAAAAAGAGAGGAAATATTTGATGTTGTAACATGAGATTTATACTAAAGATTTATGTACACTATTGAACTATTGATTAACCCAGTCATCACATTGCTTTTTAAATATCCAATTGTAAAATGAGAAAATCAATAAAATATTATATAATTTGGTATTTGCAATTAAATGTCATGTTAAATGATCTACTACAAAAAAAGCCAAACTCTATAGACATGACCTTGATCGAAATTCATGTAATTCTTCATGCTGCATAAACATACTACACATTCTAATACAAAATTTTTGTACCCAACTCAGCATTAGTCACATTTATTATAGTCATGATTTACAGTTTGATACTCAAACCCTGAAGAAGCCTTAGTCAAAAATGAGCTTCAAAACTTAACATAATGCCGGCTTAATCTTTGCATTTACTATCTATTTTCTTTTCCTACAGACAGAACAGCTTGCTACCTTGTGGGTCCTTTTTGTTGTGATAGTTGTTGGGAATGCAATTGTTTTGGTCTCCACCTGGAAAAGGAAGAGAAAATCCAGGATGACTTTTTTTGTTACTCAACTAGCTATAACAGGTAATGTTATGCCAGAAAGATAACATTGTTGCATCTAATGCAAGCTAAAACTAATTTACATGTACAATTGCTAAATTGGTTTTGGTTCCATTTTTGAGGTTTGGGGGCTTTAAGTCACCAATTATGCTTGTTATTTTGATCCATCCTGGACACTTTGGAGATGATTTTTGGGGAAGAAAGATTGGAAAATCAATGGGCAAAATGGGTATCTGGCTCTGTAAAGACTTTAAAACTCAGTATTGCTGCTTAACTGGTCAAACCTGGAACATTGTGTCTGCTTCTGGAAGGAAGAATGAATTAAGAGGTACAATTATGGGTACTTTAGCTTCACATAGATTTAACACCATCATTTAACTTCTTAATTGTCATGGAACAATTATTGGAATGGATTTTTTCAGAAATACAATCTGGGGTATTTAGGTACTATAATGTTATGATATGATATGATATTATGTTTTGATTGCTACTCTGCAAGGCGTCACCTATAAAAGCATGAAATCTCCTCTTTATTGCCAATTGTCATTCTCTTCCTGGTCTGTCTAATTGTCTTTTCAAGTACACTAAGGTAACTTGTAGCCATGCTAATTGGAAATAGCCCTAATATATTAAGAGTGTCTGCTGAGGCTCAGGCATGACTAAGGAAACTTGAACAAATCTTCTTGCATCTGTTCAAAATATCATTTGAATCTTTATCCTCTATGAAGATAGCATATATGTTGTCAAACCTACAAAATTACTTTGGTTACAGCTATCTTTCTTCATTTTTCTGCTTGCCACAGCTATGGGGGGGAGGGAAGATGCATTCTTCTATTTAAGTCAAAACAATAACAAAGCCAAATTGCTCAAGTGTTTGGCGAGCTAGAATTACCGTTAGAGATTTATTATGTAAGTAGTGGGTGGGGAGTTTAACTTCTATTTTGTAATCTTTGAGGGGGGGACTTCCAGTCTTGGTTTCACCTATGTTCGTGCTGATATTATGTAGCCATTAAAATTGTTCTTTGAGGAAAGCAAATGCCTCAAGAGTTCTTATTTCTACTGGTCTCATCTATCAGAACCATGACATTTGTATTCAAATCTATCTATAAGCAAACATTTTGTAGATTGCATTATATATCTCATAGTGAGAAGTGTGATGATAACATATATCTGAAAAGCCTGGATTTCTGTTTTATTCTTCATTAGTTATCATTTTTGTCAGATTTATATGTTAATCTTAAGTTATTTACAAGATACTAGTAAATCATATCTCAACAAAGATAGATCATTCTATCTCATCTGACACTGGAGCTAACTTCAGTCAACAAAGTGGGCAAGTCTCATCTTCTTGATTTTGATCTCATGTATTTTACATCTGTCAACTGCTCAAGTCAAGCTGTCTGCAGTGCTAGATGATTTCTCTTTTTTCATAAAGTTAACATGATTGTCTGATCCACAAAACCTCATTTCTAAACTGGATGGAAAAGTCCTCTCCCCCCCCCCTTTTAAGCATAATAACTGAGGACTCAGCTAAGTTAACTGCTTTTTGGAATGTTATATGACTAGCCTCCAGAATATTGAATATGGCAAGCCTTGATTGATAGATCTTTTTTTTCTTTTCTTTTCTACGTTTTCTCAGCAATGTTTTTCCTTTCTCTGTTTTATATAGAATGCAGCAACAATAAAGTACCTAAAACTTCCTAAGCTTATGAGGCAAAGAAAAATTGACACTGTCCTGGATATCTTTTTCTAGCAAAAATCAAAAAGACTGAGTGCCTTCTGGCTGACTTTTTCCTCACACTATAGCAGACAAGTGGTTTCATCTATAGTATGGTATCATACTATTCAGATTTAATGAATGACATGGCCTTGAGATACCTTCCCAAACTTTCTAATTTAAGAATACATTAACTACAGTAGCTATTTACCTGCAGCTATTCAAACTTAGCAAAGCTATAGATAGTGCTGCATTCTTTTGCTTCCTCCCTTTATAATCTATAAATCATTTCATTCTAATTTATCCCATTTTCCTTTGCCTTTTCAAGGATGACAAAAGTTTAAAATAAAAATAGCTCTGCTCTTCATTTCTACAGCAAGTTTTGGGTCAATAGGGTACTTATAAGACAATAACATGGGACACAGAGAATAATCAGCAAATTTATACAATGTTTCCTCACTATGTCTGTCTGTCTGACTGTCTACCTGCCTGTCTATCTAATCTATAGGAACCAAGCATGATATATGCATCTTTCTCAAGACTAATTTCTAATCCTCTTAACAACCTAAGGGACCTGAGAAACACTTTTAGGAAATAAAATTTGGGGATGTGTATGTGGGGGGGGGGGGGACTGCCAGACAGGTTTTAATTACAAGAAGGCAAATAAAAATGGGTGCTTTGCAAGTCGCTGCACTGGGAAACTGGCCCAGCACTATTCTGTGACTCTACCTTATTTCTGAGGTCTGTAATTTAGTCACTTTGATGGTAAACCACTTTTTTATTTAAAGGAAGCAATTGGTGTACATAAAACAACAGCAAGGGGTAATTTGTAAAACAAACAAATTTCCTGGAGGCATTCAAAATTTGCATTTAAGGCTTTTTCTATTCTGATTGTACGTATCCCTTTATCCAGAGTCAAGTCACAGTCTCTCAACAATCAGTCTCATTTGGAAGAATGTATGCCATACATAATCCAACCTTTTATAAATAAACTTATAAAATTCTCCAGTGTCACATGTTTGAGAATTTTTTTAACTCCTCAACATACAAAACAACACTCTCTCCATTCCTTGAGTTGTGATAAAAACAGTAATGTCTCTGTATGAACAAGTTTGCAGTGATTTTTTCTGTTATTATTTATAGTTTGTGTTATTTGCTCTCTTTTCCAAACTGAACAATATTTGTCTGTCTCTTTGCCAGTAAATGTCTGGGGGGGGGCTTAATGCTATTTTTTATAGACATGTGAGTCCTTTTTGACTGACCCTGTGTTTATTCCAAACAAATCTTATTGCACCAGAGGAATGCTGTGGAAATAATTTACTTGGACTTCAGTAAGGCATTTGATAAAGTAGACCACAACTTGCTACTTGATAAGGTAGAAAAATATGGGTTAGACAACATAACCACCAGATGGATTCATAACTGGCTCAATGTGTAGTCCTCAATAGAGCTGCTTCTACATGTGTAGTCCTCAATAGAGCTGCTTCTACATGGAGGGAAGTTTGCAGTGGGATACCCCAAGGCTCTGTTCTAGGCCCAGTACTCTTCAACATCTTCATCAATGATTAGGATGAGGGGGTAGACTCATCATATTTGCAGATGACACCAAGCTGGCAGGAATAGCTAACACTCCAGAAGATAGGCTTAAGATACAGAAGAACCTTGACATACTTGAACATTGAGCGCTATCTAACAAAATGAAATTCAATGATAAAAAAAGTAAGGCCCTACATCTAGACAAGAAAAACCAAATGCACAGGCATAGTATAGATGGCACCTGACTCAATAGTAGTAACTGTGAGAGGGATCTTGGAGTCCTAATGGACAATCACTTAAATATGAGCCAGCAGTGTGCTGCAGCTACCAAAAAAAGCCAACATAGTTCTAGGCTGCATTAACAGATGGATAGAATTAAGATCACATGAAGTGTTAATACCACTTTATAATGTCTTGGTAAAACCACACTTGGAACACTACATCCAGTTTTGGTCGCCACAATGTAAAAAAGATGTTGAGACTCTAGAAAGAGTGCAGAGAAGAGCAACAAAGATGATTAGGGGACTGGAGGCTAAAACAAATAAATAATGGTTGCTGGAATTGAGTATGTCTAGTTTAATGAAGAGAAGGACGAGGGGTGACATGATAGCAGTATTCCAATATCTCAGGGATTGCACAAAGAAGAGAGAATCAAGCTATTCTCCAAAGTACCTGGAGGCAGGATAAGAAGCAATGGATGGAAACTAATCAAGGATAAAAGCAACCTAGAACTAAGGTGAAATTTCCTGACAGAACAATTAATCAGTGGAACAACTTGCCTCCAGAAATTTTGAATGCTCCAACACTAGAAGTTTTTAAGAAGAAATTGGACAACCATTTGTCTGAAATGGTATAAGGTTTCCTGCCTGAGCAGGGGGTTGGATTAGAAGATTTCCAAGGTCCCTTCCAGCTCTGTTATTCAGTTATTCTGTTAACAATCAGATACAACTGAAATATCTGAGGCTATTTGTGCCAATTATATACAGGTTTTATACAGATTTTTTTTACTGTGGAGTTGGAAATGAAGCCAATTTGAGTTATTTCATTTCTGAGGCCATGAAAATTTTCTTACTCAGTACTACCATATGGTTTTACTTTAGTTCCAAGGTCTGCTATTAAGCCATTTTAGATAACAAATTCATACTTTTATATCCAGAAAGATAGTGAGGAGGAGCAATGTGGTGGCATTGGGAGGTTAAGAGTTCAATTCTAGGTAACAGCAGATGTTTCTCTCTCAGGGTGCAAAGAGAAAATATCTGCTGCAAACTCCATATAGGTGTCAGGAAGGGCAACCGGCCATTAAATGCTCAGCTCTCTTTGGTCGCCCCGACTCTGCCCTGAATTAAGGAATTACAGGGTTGTAAAAAGAAAAAAATCCAGAAAGACAGCAATAGGTACATACTGATGTGGAGGCTGAAAAGTAGAGCATAATTCTGAGGAACAAGGTCAGATATTTTATTAGGACAATAATAATTGGATTCCAACTTGCAGAAGAAGGGAAACAAAGAACAATAAAGACAAGAATATCAATAGACAATTCAAATCATGGCACTGGTTGTTTTTATGCCTCTGGTTTGATGTCAGTTTTAGAAACACAGGAGAAATTGATACAACTGGTTTAGATAACTGTACTTTCAGGGAGAGCTATGCATGAAATACTGGAAGTGTTAGAAAAGAACTTGTGAATTCTGTTGGGATATTGATGAGAAGAAGCCTATGTCAGTAATCTTTATGGGTAGTTGCAATTTCTGTGTTACTTCTTTGATTTCTC